TTGATGTAAAAACAGACGCTTATTTGCGGTAATATGCTAACTGAATTTGTATATTAATATACCATATTTGGAACCTCTTCTGACGCAATTGCCAGGTTATTGCCAATAAAATTGATCAATTTAAGTCAGCTGATTGATTAATTGGTAGTATGTTATTGTATTTGTGTTAAATTTTGCAAACCGTTCTGAATACAACAATCAATATTTACAAGGCAACTCAGTCGTTATACGAGCTAAGACGTTTCAAATATAACGTTAAAATAAATCATTCTGTTTTTCTTACTAGTTACGTTATGGATAAACGATGAGAAAGTTTTGACGGTGGCGGTGGCGTGTACAATTTTTATGGGTAATGAATTTTGCGATCAAGCCTTAATAATAGTACATATGTAATTGGCAAAGGTTTAATATATGAATTATAATAGCGCCGGTTGACTATTCAAATTCAAACTCACGCTGATAGAAAACAAGTATGCCAATGAATTTAAAACCAGATGTGCTTGATTTATTACTAACAAACTGATGGCTTTGTCTGTTTGTTTATTGACATAAAGTCCAAATTGACATAAAGTCCAAATTGACATACAATACTAATAATTTTCTTTGACAACAATGCATAATAATTTATGACTTGCTTCGTATTATTTTTGTTCAAGATGTTAAAGGCAACTATTACGATATACATACATATGCTGTATGTGTGTTGTATGTCGGTTTGGAATTTGTGTCCATTCGGAATGGACATATGTTGGATGGATTGGAATCATAAAGACAATCAGATAACAACAATATAAAAATGTTATGATACAAAGAACGATGTACTAAGATTATGAGGGTGGCAGTTCAAGTTACAAATGACAGCAGCTTTGCGACAAGCACATCGAGCCGTTGAACAGCTAGTCTTACAACTGCATCTAATCTTGTTTAAATTGACAAAACTTTGAGCCGAAGGGGCTTTATTATTTTGACAGAATGCTCTGGGTTACAGAATGCGTTAAGTTAGTAATTGTCTTTCTATTTGTAGACAAATACAATTGTGAGAAACATCGTCAGATCTGACATATCATTGTGAAGAATGCCTCTCAGTTACAGAATACGTTAACGAATAGTCCTTCCATTGGTGCGGAGATGTAAATACAATTGTGAATAAACACCGCCTGACATATCATTGTGAATATGTTCGAGTTACTGAAAACAGTGGGAAAGAATTGAAAAACGAGAATATTAAAATGGCGTAATATGCTTTGAGTTACAAATACGTTAGCGATTCCTTTGATTTGTGCGGAAATAGCGCCTTGACTGACATTTTACCATTGTGAAAGAATGCTTTGAGTTACTGAATACGTTAGTAAAATTTTCCCATTTGGTGGATGATATTCAAAACTTAACCATTTCGGTTTAAGGTGGTGCGACACACATCCACTAGCCAACTTGTCAGCCCAAATTTGGGCTAAAATACAGACAGATCGTGTGAACTTTAAACAAGTCTGCGCTTTTCGATTTAGTGGTAGCTACTACCAACCCTTGTAGATGATTTGGTTTCAGCCATAAACAGAATGGTAGAACAGCAATGTACTGTTCACTATCGCCATTGGTATTATGCTTGATGAGTTGAATTATCAAACAAGTTTGTGCTAATCATACAATTTGACGACTGGTGTGTGGTTTTTGACGAAGGATTCAACCATACGGCTTGTGGGTTTCTGTATGTATGTGCACAATTTGTCGAATAATTTGATAATTAATATCGGCTTAATCAACATTTAGAATTTGTCAATATTATATGTACGCTTCACCTCATTGAATGAATCGTTCTGCGAGTAGTTGGCATAGAATTGTGCAGTTTTGTGAGAACAAACATTATTTTGATCACATTTGTTATACGATTCTTCTTGTGACAGTGATACATGCAATGTCTTCCAAATAAATGTTCTGAACTTTCAATTTTTTACGTGTGTAAATGCGGGTTTGGGAATTTGACAGAGTTTACATTGTGATTTGATTACATATGACAGTAACGAAACGTTATGAAGCATAGTTAACTGTCATAATCGACAGTGCAATAATTTGTTACGTGTAATACTATTTATGATATCATGAATAAGATTCAAGTATATATGAACGATATAATATAAAAACGTAATACAAGTAGTAATATCACAAGTGACTTGCGCGTATACAGATTAGTTATTTCTTATGCTAAAACTTACAAACGTTAAAGTAGCATGTTGTTTATACGCAAGTAGAGTTGATATCATAATGCCAATAATGATTTTATAATGTTGTTACCTGGTTGTCTTTACTATTCCAATCCTCCGACATACATGTCCATTCGGAATGGACATAAATTCCAAACCGACATACAACATACAGTAATTGCCTATTGTACAACACATCTGTACTCTAATGTTGTCTCAATATAATCTTAAACTTTTTCCTTTTCGATTTACAATGTCTATAAAAGTTGAGGTAATATTTGCTAATATTTGTATATGTCTTCTGTTTTTCTCCTTTAACATTCGTATACGATCATCCTGCTTTTCTAACGTTTGCATATATTCTGTGTGTATCTTATTAACGTCCTTTAATTTTTGTATACTATTCTTCAGTGCTTCTACTGTATTCTCTTCAAATATTTGCATATATTCCGTATATATGTCCTCGTTGCTTGAATCACAAATAATCCGTTTGCTACGTCGGAAACGCGGCCACTTATCTTTATGCTGTTTATATAGTGGTTTGCTAACGTAGCTGAATAAACTACGGCACATACGATCAAAACAATGCCTATTTTTCTGCAGCAGTTGTTGTTCTACATGCCGCGGTTTATTTCTTTTTTTCGAAGAATAGCGATACTTGCGCATTCCAAAATGAGTCAATCTGTTGTTGGGATATCGCCATATTCGTATTCCAAGATGGGTCAGCTTTTTTTTAGGATAATGATACTTTCGCATTTCAAAGTAAGCCAACTTTGTTCTTCGGTAGCGATATTTTAGTATTTCAAGCCGAGTCAATGCCTTTCCGGGATGATGACCGACATAATGTTGTCTATGTCTAGAAAAGAAAACATTACAATATTAAATTACTTGATATGCAAACAAGCCCAATCTCCGCTAAAGCAGAGACCTTGATACTCGAAATTGGTGCGTAGTTTGATTACCGTGAAAGTAAAGTTATTCTTAATAGCTTCAACATCGAAACAGTGCTTTTTTAGCGGAGAGACAGAGACACCTATTCAGTGTTAGATATTTCTACAATTTTCAGTATCTCAAATAGAGAAAATAGAAAGAAGTTGTAACAGGCAAAAGCAGACTATTATATTATAACTACCCCAGGAGGCTGTGGGTAATTTGTTGCAGTAACGTGACTCTGTATTACATCTCTATCCTCTGTGTACATTTCGATTTCCTGAAACGGTTTGCCTTAGTATTAGCAAATCTGGCCCAACCCTCAGCAGATTAAAATCAAAATTGAATTTGATATGGTTTTCGTAAATACAGTACTAATACTGTACTTTAAGATTGATATTAATGTTAATACTCATCTATTTCAATTTTCTTTACGAGCTACTGTCTGCTAGCACTAGCTAAAAGTTTTTAACAAAAACTACTTTCTTACTATATTTACTTAGTAGACAATCATCATCAATATTACATGTAATTGTTGAAAATTATATATATGATATGTCCGTGACTGTACATTGTTAAAAATTTAACAATTTTTGATATACCATATCCGCAAGATTTGTTAAAGTGTGGAGAAGCGTTCGAAAATTCGTAACGTTACAGGCAGCGGTTGACAAATCCTCGACGTCACAATAAAAACACCATGTTTAAATTGAGTTTTCGATGATATTAATATTGGTGGCGTTAGTATTAGTGAGAAATTCAATCCTGATTTCAATCTGCTGATGGTTGGGCCAGATTTGCCAAGGCAAACCATCAACAAATGTTGATCCATATTTATTGTCCACCCAAGCGATTTCCGATTTAGTCAGTGAGCTAACAGAGATGCAGCGATTTTAACAGGACAGAGATGTAATACAGAATCACATTACTGCAATAATTACCCACAGCCTCCTGGGGTATCACAAGAAGAGATTTATCATTAGACACATGACCTGCGAAACTTTGGTGGTAGTTCCTCACCTCCTTCAACTAATAAAGTCGATGATCGACTTTATTAGTTGAAGGAGGTGAGTTTCTCGTCATCAAAATTTACGGACACGTGCAGAAATAGCTAACATCGTTGCAGACACATTGTGCATATCAGAAATTTTACCAAGAGAATAAGCAAGTGTCACGGAAAGGGTAAGCAGGTGAATAATCGCAGCAGTTTGTAGAGACTTTAGTTGGTGGTGTTCGTAATTTTCGCACAGTCAAGAGACTATGTGTACTAGTACAAATTTCAGGGGTTTCTATAATTTTGAAAACTGCGACAATACTAATACAATATTTTACATTGTGTATTTTATAAACAATCAATATTTTTCGTTCTTTTTTCTTTTGTGTGCGTGTAGTTTGGACTAATTATTTTGATTGGGTACATGGTCTGAATGACCCCTGATATATCTGTCAATTCTTTATTTAAAAAATTTAAAAACAGCAACAAACTGATACAGTCTGATCAGAAAGCAATGTTTAAGTATTGTTACAGCTAAGACGTTGTCAATAGGTTTTAAAGAAAAATAACTATATTCATAAGAGCAATGGCTGCATTTTAAACTTTTTATTATCACGCATGCACTCGTCCGAAAATTACTTCAAAATAGGTCTGACAACTATCAAGCATAATGCTTACATTAGAATCAAATGTTTTTACATTCTGCAATATAATGATTATACATTTCAATTGCTTGCATATATCGTTTTTGCCTTCTTTCTAAGTCCTGAATAATCTTATTCTTTTTTTCTATCTCCAACTGAAGTCTACAATTATCTCTCAACAACACATTAACATGTGTTTCTTTGAGATGAGCTCCAACAAAATAAGACCACTCCCACAAATCATCATAATGTTTGTCAAGACATTCAGTACCAAAGTTCAATACTGACAAAGCCCTCGTTCGCCACCACTCATGTTCTCTGAAAGTGACAGCATATTTGTTGAGAACGTCATTATAACTCAGTTTGCCTTTTTTTATTGAAGTATCTTCTCTAATGTAAAGCTGCTTTGGTCTTCTCATTCTGTAATGTAACTGATTTTTACTGGAATAGAGATGGGCACCATATCTTAATGCTCGAGATGACTGGTGAGAAAAGGAAAGCATCATTAACAATTCTCAACTACTAATGGATATGCAGTTGAAGGAAGAAAAGCAACCTGAGATCTGTTGTTCTCACATGACACCTGACCACTATAAAATTTTGCAATCAATCGTGTGGCCTTCATGTGTCTGCTGTTGTGACACAATAATATTTTGATGACCATGAGCCACACAAGCCATAATATTTTATTTGGCAAATTCAAAAAAGGCAGTCTCATGACATCTTTGAAACTTTGTGTCGCATGTTGTCTCATGCAGATTTGTTTGACGGCTTGAAAAGAACTGTTTTCTGTTCCTCGCCAGTTTGCATTTTATACTAATGCACTACGATATCGGTATTTCAGAAAACAGTCAGTTTACTTCGTTATACGAAAATGCCTTTCCACCAGTGATAGTACTATAACACAAGACCATAAGGCTAATCTCAAAAATCGAACGCATTTAACTTGATGGAAGCAAATGATAAAGCGGCATCAGTGTTAAGAAACTATCAGACGGAGGCTTATAAACCATTAGGGCAAAGTTATGAGGAGTGTATAAAAAATTTGATGGAAGAGATAATTAACTTACAAAAGCACCGGAAAAGAAAAATAAATTCATACAATGTTTGGAATCAACGAAGGAAGGAAAATCGATAGACAGTGAAGGATTCTTTCGAATGCCGATACACGTACCCGAAGTACATGTTAAAGGTTTGCAGAAAACAGCAAGATCTTTCAGACTCGGAAGAATTCGCAATGTTAGATCTGCCTTGGAATATGTCAGGAGACGAGTAAGACCAAAATTTTTATATGCCTAATAGTGTGTGCTACAGCGATTGCCTGAAGAAAAGAGGTTCAAAGATATGTTGTATCATTCATGCAAAGCTCATCACATACATATAAAACTTGTAAAAAATTGTCTTGGTAATCTCTATCGTATTTTATGTAAAGGAAAGCATGGTTACGAGAAAGAAGGAGCTGTTGGCCTTGGGTGTTATATTAAGCTATTTTAACATTAAATTTACTTATTGGGAAAGCTTTCCATATTTACATATTTACTCCTTAGTATTGACGAACAGCGTATATGTATATGCCGAGAATTATAAACATTCCATTGCAATTAGTTGTTAGACGAGCTTACATTAGAATCACAGAATGATAGTATACGAACGTTGAAGGACCTTAATGAGACACATAGAAAATATATACAAACATTAGAATGGAATAATTTTATACAAACGTTAAAGGAGAAGAACAGAAGACAGATACAAGCATTAGCAAATATTGCCGCAACTTTTACAGACATGGTAAATCGAAAAGGAAAAACGTTTAAGCAGTAGGGATTATATTAAGACAGCATCAGAGTACATTTGGGTGTTGTGCAATATACAATAAGCAATATTTTGTTTATTATTACAGTTCTCTCTTTGTGTAAACGTATTATGATAAGCTACATATTAATATAGCAATTAAGGTGCGTGTGCAGAAGTAGATTCTACAATAAGTAATAGTATACATATTAATATGTTAGTGTTGAATAATATATAAAGCTAAAATTAAACAAGAATTAGTTAATATTAATATTAACTCTAGAAGTGCCAGTTTCAAAAATCAAAACAAATAGACTGATTTGTGGGGGAGTAAAGTAGACTATTCAGCTGACAAGGGATCTATCGCCGCAACAGCGACAGTTCAACTAAGACTGAATGCTACAAGTGACGTGTGTTGTTTTTTTTTTTCAATTATTTACACATACTCATACTGGGACAAATTCGGAAGTAATACATGATACCCAATAAGGAAGGAAGAGCAAAGAAATTGTCGAACAGCATAATAAATTTAATACCTTATTTGGGATTGTAGATGTATAAATACGTTTTTTCAAATCAAAAATGCTTACTGCAAGGTAGTTATCAAAGACTGCATGGGAGAATTTGCAATATAGTTTCCTTTAAATTCAAGTGTGACTGAAACAATGCTATCTCTTTACAAAGATCAATCTGCCAATTGGCCTGCCTCGGGCCGCTACATTCTAGCCCAATTCACCCCAACCACAATCACTGTATACCAGGCCTACAATCGCTTCATAGCCTCTTATGCCGTCCAACATCAAACACTTGGAGGTCCGGACTTTTCCTTAACTCGCATGACATGGATAAAACCCAACTTTGCTTGGATGATGTATAGATCCGCCTGGGCTACAAACAAAAACCAGGAACATATCTTGGCCATCGAATTGCAAAGAACAGTTTGGGATGAAATGCTGTTACATGGAGTTGTGAGCAGTTATGGACAGAGTAGAGCATTTGCGAACCAAGAAGAATGGAATGCAGAGCTAAAGAACAGTAAAATTAGAATACAATGGGATCCTGATCATAGTTTGAAGGGAGGCAAGTTGAAGAGGAGAGCCATACAAGTTGGTGTCAAACACGAGTGGATGGACAAGTATTTGGAAGGAATTGTTCGTATTGAGGATATCACTGAATTTGTAAGGGAACAGGGAAAACTTGTTGAAGAAGGTTTGGTAAGTATACGGGAAAATGTGTGCGTCATTGGTATGAATAAACGGCTGATGTGTCCGATCGTGTTTGATAGGTCGATGCAGTCATGACCCCTACTGAAACTATTTACGAAGTATCGGACGCTATTAAAATGAGATTGGGAATGGATTTGGATGAAGAAGTTGGAGATGATTAAAGAACCCAGTACCCATTAGCATACACTTTTATTTTTTTCGATGATAAAACGATATAGATATGCATTTTAATTATTACAATGTTCAGTATGTTCGTTGACTGTAGCGTCTATGAAACATAATATAATATACAAACGATTCCATTCTTTTTTTCTCGATCTACGCTATTGGTAGACTAAATCTATTTAGGACGGATGATTAATCTGGATGCCAACTAAGAAAATTTAGTAACGTACAAATAAATATCTACAGAATAAATATTTTAGTTCTACTTCACATTTGGGATAACTGATAACTATAACAATAATGCTTCATTTCATTTTACTACGTCACTGTTAAACTCACTAGTACTATAAACTCACTCCTGCCATTCGCCTTCACATTAATTACTCAAATAGTCTCGATCTTTTCACTAGTTCAAACGCAGTGTCGAGAGCTTCATGATGCTCCAACTCTGTCGCGTCCTTGAACAGTGTAAAGGCCTCGTTGGGAGTCATAGCCCTGCATTTTTCCACTCTCTCGTGAAATTCCTCTAATGGCGTCTTTGAAAAATCTGTAGGGTGATATTCCGGACTATCCAACGGGCTCATCTCATCTGAAACCGGAGATACGGGGCTCTCTAAAGCAGGAGTTCCATTGCCGGTATTGTTGGCAGTATTGGCATTGGTGGCAATTGCTGGCATAGATTTGCTGCTTTTGAAGGAATTTGAGGACGAAGTGCGACTGGGAATAAAGGGGAAAGAACGAGAACGTTTAGCCGGAGGAGCAGGCAGATCCTTGAGACGTTCAGTCGAGACATCACGAATGAATATGTGGTGGATTTGGTTTGGATGTTCCTTGGCTATGGCAGAATAACTAGTTTGTCGAATTTTATGGAATGAGATGGATGAAATGAGAATGTAAATTGTTATGCTTGAAGAACTGATTTCATCATAAATGACTCACATGTCCATATCAATTTCACCACTGTCTCCAATTAATATAAATTTACGCTTGGGAAAGTCCTAAAAGTCAATAACACGTTTAGCGCCCCATTTATCTATTTGCTCAACATCTCAATACCATGCGAACGCTTAGTTAACTTACTTTCAATATCTCCAATATGGTATCTCTTTTATTTCTCTGCGGTTCATCTAATAGTGTTCTCACCAAATCATTATAAAACTTCAGATGAGCTGATCCAGGCGGAAATTTCTTGGTGTGAAAGAATGCTGTAAGCATAGGGAATAGCTGCCATGGCGAGTTGGAGACATAGTGAAATGATGCCCCGCGATTATACTGATGTGTTTGTGATAAAAGGAATAGGCAAAGAGGAAGTGTTAAACATTTGAGAGGTAATAAGGTTTCGAAGACAATAAATTCGCGAGCTTACCCAATTCATATAGACATTCGCCATGCCTGTAACCTGATAACGGTAGAATTCGAATAAGAGACAAAGGCAGCAAAAAAAAATCAATTAATTCTTTATTCGTCTTACCTCTTTCGTCTCAAGTAAAAAGGTATTATTGAGCACTGCACGTGCACCACCACCAATGTTAGTGTCTTTGATTGTATCATCAATGTCCTTTATTTATTGTGAGTGAACAAAACTATTATTAACAATAGCCAAACCCATGCCAGCGAAACAAAGCGTAATACTCACAGATATGATGGAAAGGCCCTCTAACTCGACCAAATTCGCCAAACCGGGCGATGCGTGAGCTTTGATCAAAACAAAATACGCAAATCAATAAGATAAAACGGACAATGATTTGCTTCTCAACCAACACACTATGGAAAATTATCAACACCAACGTTTTCTCCTTCCTTCCGGCGTAGCCTGCAATTGCAACAGTCTCACGTTCTTTCTGCAATCGCTCACTGCAGCTATCCATTTATCAACCGCAGCCGTAGGAATCAAAATCTTTCCGGAGAAATGACCGGTATTACTCGTGACATGTATCACAGGCTCTTCGAGATCCTGTTCTTCGACGATTTCCACTTTTTTGCTCACACTCGAATCATCGTCGTTTCCCTCGCTACTTCCACTCGAAGATAAATCGTCCTCATCCGCCGACGATGTCTTTTTGGAATCCGGAATACCGTTGTTAAAGACTTGATCGTCTTCATAGTCAGAATCCAACTCGTAATCCAGTTCCATGTGCGTGGGTTGCGCGACACCGGTGATCTCGACGGTATAGCGTTGATGACGGAGGTTCTTGGCGAGAAACATACCGAAACGTTCTTCGAGATGTCTGTTGCGAACATCGTCTTTTGTCACGCCAGTCACTTTTCGTGCAACCCCTAGAAATAAATTTGAGTCAGCTGGTTTTGTAAGGGACGAAAAAAAAACATGTACAAGGAAAAACGATCGAATCAAAGCTACACGAACAAACATGCCTAGCAGCAAACTTCGTTTTCGACTCTTTTTCATAGAATAAGCCCATCCGCGTACTCGCACATTCCACATGCCTTCGTTTTCTAAATACGAATTTACACACATCGGGAAATTAAACCATTATAAAAACGGGTCCAACCTTCCATCTTTTATGGGCCTCACCTCTTTTAAACCGCAAAATCCCCACTCCACAATTCCAGTTAAATACCTGGATCCAGAAAAGCATATGTAGGAATTAATATACAATGCTGCTCGACTGTCCTTAAATCTTCGTGAGCCGTGGCAAGCACTTGAGACTCCAACTCGTTTATGTCTGTAGGTTCGGCGGTCGATGTCCCTGCATAGTAAGACGCCGAAGCCGATGCGACAACCGACAAGACGCGGTTTTTAAGAAAACCTGCTTTTTCACGCAAACGAGAACGCTCGGAAGACATGCTTTTGGCCGGGTTATAACTGATATGGCTTGAGAGGGCTTGATCGGGGGAGGGGAGGGGAAAAAAAAAAAAAAAGACCGGGCAGTGCAGTGGGAGGTTTCTTTATTATATAAATTGGAGTATCCCCGAATTCGTATGATTTATTTTATGCCTATTTGACATTCTGTACGACAATGCTTACTTTTAATTCATGTTACACTCATTATATTCTTTACGCCATTATTATATTAAAATTGAATCTTTCAGCAAAATAGTAATGGCAAACATAAAAAACCCTTATCAAGTCAACAAACAACCCTTAAAAAATATAACAACAAATATTTATAATACAAAACGGATATCTGAAAAACACATACATGGGAGTATTCACGAGATCACGCTGAATAAAAAGTTGGATTCGCACAATTAGCAAAACTGATCAATTCTCTGTAAAATAATATGATGGATGATAAAAATAATAATAATAATACGTACCATGACTGCGATCGCCTTTGTCGCTCCAACCGCCTCAACTCATTCGCCGCAAAATCGTACCTATTATTTGCCGCTCGAGTATACCACTCTCTGGCTTTTCTCACGTTTTTCTGAGTACCTTTTCCAATCTCACACCACCACCCAACCCAATACTGAGCATCTGCGTATCCAGCCTCGGCAGCGCTCAACATGCACTGGAAACCCTTTTTCGATTGAATCGGCGTGCCAACTCCCAACATGTAACAATGTGCAAGCTCCATTTGTGACGGAAGATGCTTCATTTCGGCTGCACGTTGGAACGATTCAAATGCCAGCTTCTCGCTGGCCGGTGTCCTTAGCTCGGTGTTGCAGTAATGATTGTGGTGTCCAAGCTTGTATAGAGCGAGGGCCGAATTTTCCTTGGCGGCCGCTGTTAACCAGCGTTTGCCCTCTTCTTCATTGTGTTCTGTACCGATGCCGGTCAGATAGCATATACCCAAATGAGCTTGACCTATCGGATCTCCACCTTCAGCTGATCTTGTATACCATTCAAAGGCCTTTTCGTTATCCTTTATTGTTCCAATACCCTGCTCGTGGCACCACCCAACCATACATTCCCAGTGCACATGATTATTGGCACTGGTCACCAGTTCAAACAGTGCATAGGGTACTATTTTCATGTCATTAATCCACGAATCCAATACCTTGTTTCTGAAACCGGGTTTCTCAATCTCGAGAAAGTAATCATAAAATTTATCTAAAAAGTACGATCGTCCAACAGTTATCCAGACTTTACTGGTCGGCGGTATCGAATCGTTCGACCCTTCATTAACCACAGAAGATCGTGCCGAATTTTGCGATACTAGCGTGTGAGATGTACTATCAACCGTGCTTTCATTGACAATAATCCTAATCCCAGCCTGATTATTTCCTTCTCCTAGTATCTCGCTTCTTGATCGTTGATGCATTCCTGGACGCGCGGCCAGATCTGTGTATACCGGTGTAGGAGGGATTAGATGGGATTCGTCTACGGATGAAATGTCGAGAGGAAGACTGGTCAAGTGCTCGTCGTAACATTGACGTAACGTGTATGCTACCCAGTCGAGTGATGGACGTTCTGAAGGATTATAGCGTGTGAGTTCGGCAAAAGCTTGTGCGTACGAAGGTGGAGTATCATTGGGAAGTTCTCGATGAAGACTTTCGATGCAATCCCGACTGCGTTTTGCGGCTATTAGATGGTCATATGTGAGTTCACTGTATGGCGTTTTTCCGTCGAGAGCAACTGCAAAATCAAAGGGTAAAACATTTAGTTGATTGACGCTTGTGCGAGCGTGATAAACATGTTAGCGTTAACGTTAATTCCTCCTCCATTGATCCTACATACTTGACCATAACAACAATCCTAGTGAATAAACATCCGATAATTTTGGCTGTGTTTTAAAGAAACGTCTCATCTTTGGCTCAGCGCATACCCTCTCTGGTGCAATCCAACTCATTGTGCCTCCGATTCTACCATCCAACACATGTTGCGTTCTGCTTCGACTTATGCCAAAATCAGCAATCTTTGGTTTCAAGTCTTCCGTCAAAAGGACGTTTTCAGTTTTTAGGTCGTAATGTACAATAGCCTGTGAATGGCAGTAATGAACTCCACGACAAATGTCATGGGCTATTCGGGCTTTGGTCTTCCAAGAAACTGTTTCTGTTTGGAGGTAAGATTTCAACGTGCCGTAGAATGCGTATTCAAGGACTAACCAGTAACCCTTTTCATCTTCCATGACACCGTAGAATTTGAGTATGTTTTCGTGTTCGCGTAAGCGGCTGTAAATACGAAATTCGTTTTCGAGTGATTTGCGGTCTTCCTAAATAAAGAAACTATGGATATTAGATTTGAATTTTTGTCGTATAATAGATTCTCAATTTCCTTGAAAAAGGAATCGTAGAATGCGTTGATATACATGCATCGCATTCTCTTTCCCTATACCTTGCTTATTTTTATGGCAACTGGTTTTTCATCGTACTCTGCTTTGTACACTTTGCCATTCGCTCCTTCACCGATGATGAAGCGCGGCTTTGGCATCACAATCTCTGACCTTTGAATATACATTTTGAAAAACCCGACTGTTTTATACAAGTTTGATGTTCTTGATTATATAACAGTTGGGTATGTTCATGCAAATTGGAAGCGATAATATCGACTGTCGTTATCAATATTTAAGTGATTACAATGTTCGAATAGCTATTTGACGTATATAAATTCCAATGTCCTTTGGTAATGTTTCGTTCTTCTGTAAATATCTAATTCATTAAACCAACTCGAATACTTGTATCGTATGCGTTGATATACAGCCTATTTCATCTTTTAGCATTTACATGAGTGTTAGAGGAGGGGAGAAAAGTGAGGAGAGTAGATGTAACACTGACAATTTTCTGTGTCGATCTTAATACTCGGTGATCACAATTTGTGATAACAGGGTTCCCGTTATCGGAAAAAAAAAAAAAAAAGAGGAAAGAAATTAAATTACCAAGAAATTAAACTTTTCGTAATATATCGGTTTACCGTAGTAATAAGTAAATCAGTTCATTGTTCGTCATGGGGCTTATTTAGACTAGTGCATGGGCGTTTACTATACGGATATGGTGGGGTTTTATTATATTATCTCTTTTAGCTGTCAATAGAATGCGGCCAAATAGGGATGGTACTGGTTTCACAATGCGGAAAAAAAAGCTGGGGTAACATCTAATTCACGATTGAAAGACCAATGAAAAAATTTGTCAATGGCTGTGACTTGCAATAAAGATTGCGTATTAAAACTACCCCCGTAAAGATGCCTACTATCCACAGACAAAGACACATTACGAGATAAATGATAGCTTTTGTTCGAGCGTGATTTTCATGAAACTGTTGCAAATGAAAAAGAAAATCATTTCTTTATTTGCTGCCACCCGCGATCGGCACAGCACAGCACAGAATGCACAAACTGTACAGCCTCACTCGTCAAATATTGGATGGAAGACGTGACATAAAGTCAACTGATTTCCTTATATATTTGTTATAGCAGCAACAAACAAACATTTGGCCAATTGCTTATCGTTCATGGTTACCTCCAAAAGCAGATGGCATATTGAAGCAATAATTTTTTTACGTTTTTTTGCTCTCATTAATAATACATTTAATCCATAAACTGCAACAAGTGCGACGAGTACTACCAGGATTCACACAAAACCAGTTTGCCGCATAACGCACTTGTCCGCATTCTGGAAAACATTATCAAACTATATAGACGACTGGTCGAGTTGCAAATTTCTGTGTTTTGAATCTCTTGGCAGATTCGAAGTAACAATTTCGATAAGATTGTTGTTGTGTTACATTGCACATTTACAGGATGTCGGGATACAAACTTTCGAATTTTTGCATATAACCAGGGTTTAACTTTTCGTCCCCTCTTTGTAGTCTTATGTAATACTGTGAATATTTCCATTAGTCGGTTATGATGCAAAAAATTGCGAGAGTGCTAATGCAGAAAAGCTCAAGTTTCATGTTAGAGTAGCAACCATAGTAAACGTACTTGCTGTGTGTTTAGATGATCCGTAAGAAAAGTTCCAAGTTTGGGTGTATCATGATTTGTTATCAGACATTAATTAATTTACTTTGTACAAAAAAGTTTTAAGTTAATCGAGGAGAAATTGAAATTGATAATGAATTACAGTTTGGATGTGTTTAGTCGCTTTGCGATTTATATCGTTATGTATAAAAAGAAAAATCGTAATTCGGACATCAACCGTCGACAAATTAATTGTTATTCTGTAGCCAACTGATACCCAACAATTTAAAAATATACAAAAGACATTATATTTATACATTACAAACTAGTTACTACGGCGAAGGGATATCCAGCAATTAAATCTAGCTCTTTCAAACTCTCGGCTAACCCCCCTCTTTGCTTAAATTGCTGACACTTTTAAACTATACTCGTAATGTTTGATTTGTGTACCGCAAGTACTCGATTAATTACACTGCCGTTCTATCGGTGGTAGTCCCATAGTCGGAAATTTTATGCAACAAAAGTCGTGTTTTATTTGTAATTGCATTTGCCAATTTCCGGAATTGATGGACAAGATTAATTGTTTAGGAACCCGTGCGGATTACAGCAATCAAAATTCAAGATGGTTGAATGTCAAACAAAGTTATATCTGTTTGTGATACGAAATAATAAGCTCATGATAGTACATTTACTCAGATTCAAACGATAAGTGAAACGGTGTTAGCTTATGATAGCTGGCTATGCATGGGAAGTATAAATGTCACATAAACAGCTTTTTTTTTGTTGATTGATTCTTGACAGTAAATAAACGCGTCACAATAAAATTGTATTTAATTTAATTTTAGGCAACAATTACATAATTAATTTATGCCTCATAGGACCCAAGCTGTTGCCTCAGCTAAAGCAAAGCAAATGATAATGATAGCAGAGACAGTACAACGTAGCAGATTGAACTTGTATTAAAATTTCAGAAACAGATTTTTTACAATATACCAGTTTAAGCTTGTGCTGTGAATAGAGATTAATACTAATGGGAAAATGATAAATAGCTAAAGCAGTGATTGTGTTACCACCATCTCAAATATATGTTGTGCTACTGTAATCAAATGCGCATCAAACATGTAAACGTAAGCTTGAGGGTTTCTTTGTGATTAACGATTATACTGTAGAATCATAATTGTATTACCATCACGCAACCATATGACTCATTGGGGGGTACGATATCCTAGTGTTACAGACATATGTGACCTCCCCTATGAAACTCCACAAATGAACTTTTTTTCGCC